TCCTGTTGGACCAAACATAATGTTACATTTCTCTTTCATGGTTCCTTTCCCCAATTCCCTCACCTGTTTCCTTGTGAAGTTGTGATGAATTGAATGGCCCCTTACTGATTTTATATTTTCCAAAAAGGGTCTGGAACTGAAAATCTGCAACGTGCCGTTTCCATGCTGAGAAGGAAGAGGGCTCTGTGGAAAGCACTGTTCCTATTGCTTTATTTGAGCTGTTTCATAGTTTTTTTTGTTTTTTTTTTTTTAAAAAAAAAAACCTTACTTGCTACAAAATTTTGGATTAACAGCCACCTTCGCCAGCCCAACAAAAAAAAAAAAGAAAAAATTACGATTTAATTTTCGTTTTTACCTGGGATGGAATGTGAAACAAGAGCTAAATTCCCTCTTTGTATCTCTTATTCTCTATAATGTGGGAAATAAAATGTCATGCTACCCTGATCTGGTTTCTAGAAAAGGTGGCTGTATTTTGTGGTTTTGTGGCTATGATATAGGATTGCAAAGCATAGGATCCATAGGGATTTATAACGTGCAGTCCTCTGTACTTTTTCTTCTGCTTTTTTCTGTTGTGCATTAGGATTATTTTCTCCCTTTACTTCTGCATGCAGTGTTGGTGCAGAAATTTCATTGACGTTGGTCTATCAAATGGTTAGGATTTTGACTATGGAAACAAGACCTTGAAATTACTTCTCTAGATGGTAAAATTTTGTTGATATGAATTGTTTTTCCCATAGAGTAGAGTATGTAAGCAATTTGGAATTATCCAGAACTTATGCCTAGAGAATGATGATGCATATGCTTAGAATTAATTTAGTGAGTTGAAAGAGAATTCTTATTTATAAGGGCTTTGGTTCTCTTAACTGCCTGATACTTTATTGCAATCCATCTTGAAATTGTTCCAAAATTTTTGAAAAGAGACAATTCCTTTGTAATAACAAGGTTGATCATGTTTAGTTGGCGCTATTATCATCTAGAAGTGGCTTTAGGGCCTATGAATACCACTAACTTTTACATGGAAAATTATTTTGTAGGCAAAGTTGTAACTTCTTACTCCCTTTGACCCTGAATGTTCTTCTCATTTGGAATTTAAACGCTACTTACAATTTAAGAGAATCTTCTAAATTATTTCCATTATATAAGAAAAACATGATCAAGTGGGTCTAGTTTGATTTGTCTCAATGAGTATTTTTAGAATATCAAATTTATATAGTTTTTACTAACATGTAATTAGGGATGGTAACGATTTAAAATGTGCATTGACAAACGCATCAAAGTGAACTAAGAAAAACTTAAAGGATTGGAGGGAGTAATAACTAAAAATCATTTTTTAAGTAAAGGTGTAGAAATTAGATATTTAGATACGGATTTTCATAAGTCAAAGCGCTAACCAGGGGTGCAATCAAGGGTGGGAGAGTTGGGGAGTTTGCAGAGGGGATGGCCACTCCTATGGCCCTATGAGCTTGTGGCTAATTAAGATAATGTGGCTTTGTTTGGTTGTATCAAGCGTGAGTGATGGGTTAAAGTCTTCCAAAAGACAATTTGTTTGTAGGTCTAAGAAGTCTTCCAAAAGTATTCATTGATCCGTCAAGCTGAATTTGGTTGTATATTCCATTATTGTTTCAACTCCAAAATTATCACTATGCAGCTGTGTTATTCTGCCAATTTTATTTCATAATATACCTTGGTTATAAAATTATACAAATAAAATTCAAACTTGAAGTGTTGTGTTCTATTTGTTGAAACTGAGTGAAGTGAACATAAATTTGATGAGCATAAACTTGAGTATCACTGAATGGGAAGCAATTTCGTACTGTTGAGAAGAGGATGTGAAGTGCCTCGAACTTGGCTTGGGCACATAACTTTGTTTCAGGGTTGCTGAGAGAAACGGTTGAGAGTATTAGTTGACATCAGATATAAGTGCATTTTAGACATGACTTTTGTAGAGTATTTTTTCCTTTTTTTTTTTTTTTTTTTTTTTGACAACCAAAAAAATAAGAGAAAAGAGCTTAAGGCTGTATCCTAGCAGAGACTGCCAAGTTGTGTGCCCCAGCAATTACAGATCTCGCAACTTTGTAAATTGTAAAAGATAAGAAGGAATTAGCTCTATGTTTGATTTCCTTGATGATCTGCTTGATTTCCCTCCTTGCCGTCTCTACATGATGGATGCTTCTTATCAAGGCATCTGAGTCAGCCCAAACTTTAATAGCGTTATTAGAGATGCAGGGGCTGTCAATAGCATGAAGAATAGCTAGTGCCTCAGTTTTGAGAGAGAGAAGAGGGGGGGGGGGGGGGGAGATTGCAAATGCAGGAGCACTATGTTGAGATTTGTTGATCCCTAGAACCTTCTAACTTTGTTGCGCTATGTTGAGATTTACTTGGGTTACAATTGAATTACTGTATTTTCTGGTATTGTTTTCATGTCTTCTAATTAGTCCAAATCATGCTATTTTACAGTTACTACATTTTGGGCTGCTCTTAGCTTCTTATTGTTCTTTGCTTACCCAACTCCTGAGGTTCCAACACCAAGCTTTGAGTTCCATACAGCCTTCAATGGTGTTGCATTTGGCATTGTAAGTGTCCTTTATGAGCCTAATGTATCATTTTTTATTTCATTTAATTGCCACATGTTTTCTGAAACAAGGTGTCTATGCATTCTAGAAATGAGGTTTTCGTGTTTCTGGAAAAAGTAAACCTAGCTTTTAAGTTGGTGATAGAACAAAAATCAAATTAAGAGAATAGTGAGAGAAGAATAGAGGATCATCTAATTCTTGAAAATAAGAGTGCCCTCAATGAGGGCTTGTCCTACCCTTGATCCTATACTCCGTGTTTATCTGTTGCATATGCCTCTTGCTTTCCTATGAATTGTCAGATAAAAATAAGATAAAGGGAAAAGTGTGGAGTGGCCTTTGTATTTTGCATTTAATATGACAAATGCTCAGTATGAGGGGCGATACACTCATCTCTACCCGCTCTCAGAGAGGCATTGTAACTTAAAAGTACGAGTAGTTTCTAGCATGTGTCAGGGTATTTTGGTGCTTTCTTAAGATCTTTCTATAAAATGAATAAAAAAAACTCTACTGTCGGAGATGGGAATTTCTTCCAGCTTATGTAAAAAATAAGACTAAATAATTTTTTGAAGGAAAAAAAAAGTTTATGTTGTAACATGATTTCATATGAACTGTGTTGTGAAGGTTTCTGGGGTACAACAGACATATTACCAATTTCTCCATGAGGATGTGCCACGCCTTTTTACCCCTACACTTGCAGCTCCCACTTTTATTGGGCGGATCCTAGTGGGTATTCCCACCATCTTACTGGTAAAGTATTGCAGCAAGGCCTTGGCAAAGTGGATTTTGCCAGTGGCATTGAATACAATGGGTATATCTGTAAGGTCGACGACTTATCTTCCTGCTCTTAATGTATCTACAACTGTTAAAAATTCAGACAAAACAAAGCAGCAATCGGGGCACCTTCAGAAAATATTCTTCTCTTCCCAGGAGGATTTTTTCGATATTGACACTGGCATCAGATTTATCCAGTATGCAGGCCTTGCATGGTCTGTGGTTGATCTTGTTCCATCTCTATTTTCTCAGCTCAATTTGTGATTAGTATATTTTTGGCATTTATCTGTAGAGGTATCTCTGGATCTGCTGTTAACCCCTTGCTTGGCGACAGGCAAAAACATTCGCATAGTAAGTATATATTCAAATATAATTTTTTACACACAAATTAATTGATTAATTGAAAATCATATAACATCTAGATACAAGTAACCAAGTAAGGCTTGATTCACTTGGCAAGACTTCTTACCTCGGGAGGTTTGAGGTTTGAATTTTGCTAAGTGAGGGCACTTGGTACCTTTTCCCTACTTTCAAATGTTTGACCCGATTTATTGGAGCAACAAATCCGTAAATATTATATTGGATAAAATTTGACAATTAATATACCCTGTAAGTTTTCTTCAAAAAAAAATTAAAAATAATATATACACCTCATAAGTGCTACAAATTTTCAAGGGATACCTTTTGTGTTTACTGCCCCAACTTCAACTCTTATCTTTAAATCAAAAATCACCACCAACTAGAGGAGGCAACGAGTCGGATTTGGATCAAATTCGTGGATCTAAAATTTTAGGATCCAAAGGAGGCAACTTTGTCTTATTTAATGCATTTAGCTGTTGTCAAAAAATATAAGGTTGTGTTTGGTAAATAGCTTATTTGACCAACATTAGCTTATTGAATAATAAACAAGCTAATTTAAAGTGTTTGGTGGAAAACTTATGTAAAGAGCTTATTCCACTCAATAAGCTCTTTTTTAAAAAAACTCCTTTTATGTCATTAGCTTATTCAATATCTTACGATGAAATGAAACTTATACCCCCATTTAATTTAAAATCCTATGTTAATGCCTACCCTCCACAATTAGCTTATTGGTCATATCACATACTTAAAACATTTTTAAGCAATCATATGTTTACCAAACACTTTTATATGACCAGCTAATAAAATAACTTAGTCAAATAAGTTAATACAATCAACTAGCCAAAGTTAGATAATAGAATCAGCTTCATCTTTCAGTTTTTCACCAAACACGGCCTAAGAGTATGTTTGTTGGTGAGCTTTTTGGGGAAAAGTAGTTGATTTGACCAATTTTAGGCGATTGGCCAATTCAATAAGTTAATTAGGGTGTTTGCATGGTGGTTAGCTAATTTGAAGAGTTGATTCCGCCAAGTTAAATAAGCTTGAGGAGCTTTTTCATTAGTGAAATGACAATTATATCCTTATTTAACCTAAAACTATTCCAAAATAAAGTATGTCAATGTATTTATTGGTTATTTCGCATACTCAAATAATTTTAACTAATTAGCTATTTACCAAATATTTTTATTCAAAATAATTTTATAAAGTCTCGTTCCCTTTAGGTTTTCCTTGGGAGGGTTTTGTCTAAGCAAGGATTTCTAGGTTTTCCTCTTCTAGGGTTTGTTTGAGATCGTTTCTATGGCTTCCTCTTCACAAATTTGCGAGGAGAAAGGAAATATGGTCAAAGAGAACAATTTGTCAACGAAAATCATAACTGGAAAGGAAGTGCGAATTTTAGACTCGAATGTTTTAGTCGAAGAAACTGAGGAGGCTGTTGTCTGGGAGGAGGATGGCGTGGCGGAAGATGAGGAGAGAGTAGAACTGAGACTAGTGGGTAAAATCTGGACAGATAGACACATAAATGTGAGCGCCTTCATGAACACGGTTAGAACCATATGGCAGCCTAAACATGGCCTCGATATAAGCAGCAGTGGGAAGAATCTCTTCGCTTTTCAGTTTTATCACTGGAAGGATAAGCAGCGTGTTATTGAAGGCCAACCCTGGCATTTCGATAGACATGTGCTGGTTCTAGGAGAAATCGAAGGGAACAAAAAACCTTCGGAGATGGAATTACATGAGTTTCCAATGTGGGTTAGGGTTTATAACCTACCTTTCAAAGGGAGATTGAATAATGCGAATGTGGAGGCAGTGGGAAATAAAATTGGATCCTACATCAAAATGGATAGTTCGGGTTCAATTGGGATTGATAAGTTTGTTAGAATGAGAATTATGATTGATGCTCGAAAGCCTTTGCTTCAGAAAGTTAAAATCACAACGCGTGGGGGGAGTGAAGAGTTTTTTGATGTTAAGTGATGAGTCTATTTTACATATATTGTTATTCCCGGTTCCATGGTCATATGTGTGCTTATTTGAGCTCTATGGAGCTATTTTTATTACTAATATACGATTTCTAGTGTTTTTGTAGAGTTGGTTTTATTTTGTAGGAATTTGCAGATTTATGATAATTCCGGAGTTTATTGAACCATTACAAAGACATTGGAGTCGGATCGTATTTTATGACCGGATATTTTAAGCCCAAGGCCAAGTTAGAGAAATTTAGTTCGGTGATTAAGGGCTCGATTAAGTAAAAGAGATCCAAAGTTCCCACACGGAATACGGACCAAGCAAGTAATTAACTCTAAGATCCCAAGTATAAATCCAAGAAACAAGCCTTCAAAATCAGCCGATTGATGAAAATAAAATAGCGGGCTCGAACGGGTGGCCCAATGCCCGATTGGGCGAGATCAGCGAGATTCCTTCTTGCTATTTGGATTGTGCAGATTTGGGCCCAATATTTTACTCCGTATGTGATTGGGGCAGCGGGAGACAACTTTTCCTTATATTATACTGTACTACGTACTAAGTTGTTAATAATCCTTGTTTCAGCGGGATTATAAGGCTAGAAGTTGACAGGAAAACAAATTCCTTTTCCTTTCTTATGAAAGGATTAGGTAGTAGTTACATAGGAGGTAGGCAAGCTTTCTTAGTTTAGTTTTTAGATTAGTAGTTTTAGATTAGTTTTAGTTTCTTTTAGTTTTGTTTCTGTTTCTAGTCTCCGGTATCAAGTTTTATTATTTTGTTTTCTTGTTAGTTTAATGTTATTATTCTCTTTATTTTAATTCTTGTTTTTATTATGCTTTGTTTAATTGCTTTGATTAGTTTAGTTTTAATTATGCACGAGTAGTTTAATTCTAGGATTGTGGGGATCCATGAATAATATGAAGGGATGAATTATTATTGTTGATTGTTAATGTTTTAAATTAATTTCCTATTAATGCTATGCAATTAGATTAGCGCTAGTTTAATTGTATGAGTTATGCAATATTGATTCAAGAGATGAGAATTGATGTTTAGGCTTAGTTTCAATAGGCATGTTAATTTATAAATGGATAAGTCAAGATTCGAGAGATGCGATTTAATATCGATTGATTAATTATGTGATTATAATACATAGCGAAAGCCCTTTATAATCTGGTTAATTTATGCATTGATAATTGATTGTTGCCTTTCATCCCGGAATATTATTTATTGGTGAACCTATATTCAAGATAGCTGTCTTCCAGATAGGAGGAAGCCCTAGGCTTTTATTTATTTGATATTCTCTTAGTTTTATTTGCTTAGTTTAATTAGTTCCCTTAGATTAATTCACATAAAATCATACTTGTTACTTGATGATTTAGATTATAATAATTAATTAGGAATAGAAGAACGTTGTTTCTCTGTGGATTTGACCCTACTCCCCTATCTATTATTAGTTAGAGGTTTTTGGAATTATTTTTGATTAGGTGATACGACTTTAGCCTGTCGTTAAGTATGAAAGACCCCCAATTTTCTGTTTTCATTGCGGCAAGCTAGGTCATGGTCTAAAGGACTGTGAAGACTATAATGAGGATAGTGTGACACAGTTTCGGTATGGTGACTGGCTAAAGGCTTCTCCATGGAAGCAAGTTTCGTCGGGTTGACTAAGTGGGGGAAATGAGATGAATATGAATTGTGCCAGGAAATTATTTATTAAAAAGACGAAGGAGAATAAGGATGGGGAGAAGAAGATTCAGAAAAAGCAATTGGAAGAAGTAGTGAGTAAACTCAATGTTATAAACATTAAGGAGCCATGTGTTTCTGCTACCACCCAGCCTGGTAATACAAAGGAAGCGACTGAGAAAGAATGTGAGGAGGAAAATGTAGTGAAGAATGTTGTTGATGATGTCTTATTTAAAATACCTGTTACCCTACAGGAAATGCCCATGGCGTGTGCAGGAGGTGTTGGAGGTAAACCGTGTCAATCTGTGAAGATAAATAAGAAGATTTGGGATGGGAGAGATGGAGGTGGAGGTAATGTGGTGAGTAGTACATTATCAAGGGCTGTGAGAAAAGAAAGAAATTCTTCTCTTGAAGGTGATGCCTCCATGGAGGAACATTCAAACCATCCTATGAAGAAAAGAATCTTGGAGGTGGGAAATAGTGAGAAAGACAAGAAAAATGTCCCTGTTTCAATGGTGAATGTGGCGGGCCCCACAACTTGGTCTCTCGGTGACGAATGATTTACGCCCTCTCTTGGAATTGTAGGGCTTTAAGGAGCTCGTGCTATCAATGCTTTAAAACGTGTTGTTTTCACGGAAAATCCCTCATTTTTTTTGCCCTCTCTCATTTTTTTGCAGGAGACTAAGTTAAATGTGACTGAAATGGAAAAAATAAAAAATAAAATAAAATATGGAGGAAAGGTAGCTGTTGCGTGTGAGGGTACGGGCAGGAAGAGGAGGGGTGGTATTGCTCTATTATGGAAGAATAATATTGATGTTGATGTCAGGTCTTTTTCTATAAATCATATAGACGCTCACATTGAAGTTCCTGGGGCTGAAGTGTGGCGTTTCACTGGTCTATATGGCTTCCTTGATGAAGAACGGAAGTATGAAACAGGGGAAATTATGGAGGCTTTGTTTAATAATCAAAATATGCCATGGTTGTGCAGGGGTGACTTCAATTTGATGATGTGTTCACATGAGAAACAAGGTGAGGATGCTTTCAATTTTAGTGATGCTGCTATTTTCAGAAGGGTTGTTGACATTTGCAGATTAGAGGATTTGGGTTTCTTTGGACACCGTTTCACTTGGAATAATAATAGGGGAGGCGTAGACAATATCCAAGAAAGACTTGACCGTTTTCTGGCGAATAAGGAATGGAAGGATCTCTTTATGGGGTCTTTTGTCACTCACCTGGAGAAACATAAGTCAGATCATCTTCCTATTTTGTTATGCATCAAAGAAAGAATAAGTGCCCCGAAAAAGAAGAAAAAGACTAAGCTCTTTCATTTTGAGGAGATGTGGTTAAGGTACGATTCCTGTTTGAGCATTATTCAAGAGGCGTGGAGTGATGGAGGGGATGCCTCTAGCAACATTTCTCGAACTGCTAGTTGTTTAAGGGCCTGGAGTGGTCGAACTTTTGGGAACTTTGCGAAGGAGATGAGGACTTGTAAGCAAAACATGGCAAAACTCATGGAGGAAACCCAAAAAAAGGAGACTATTGAAAAAATGAGAGCAATTGATGAGAGGATGGATGAATTAGAGGAAGGGGAAGAACTTTTTTGGAGACAACGTATCGTCAAGACTGGCTTAAATGCGGAGACAAAAACACGAGCTTTTTTCACACAAAGGCGAAACAACGGGTGGAAAGAAATAACATTGAGGCTACTTATGATGAAGCAGGGACACTGTATGAAGACGAAAACACAATTTCTGAACTTTTTGTTTCACATTTGATGCGTTGTTTAGCTCCTCGGGCAATGTTGATGCAGACCCGGTTGTTGATCTTGTTCAGCTGAAAGTTTCCACCACCATGGCTGATTTGCTCGCTGCTCCTTTTTGCGACTCAGAAGTGTGGGAAGATCTCTTCCAAATGCACCCCACAAAGACCCCCGGTCCCAACGGCATGTGTGCTACCTTCTATAAAAAATTCTGGAATATTGTGGGCTCGGATGTGATAAATAGAGTATTTGATATTTTGAACAACAATGGTGAAATCGAGTCTATTAATCAGACACATATTGCTTTAATTCCGAAAAAAAGGAATGTGAGTCTCCTGTTGATTATAGGTCGATTAGTTTATACAATGTGCTCTATAAAATTGTTGCAAAAGTCTTGGCAAATAGATTAAAAAAATTTCTTCCTGCCATTATTCATGATTCTCAGAGCGGTTTTGTTTCGGGTAGATTAATCACTGATAATATCCTGGTAGCATATGAATGTTTTCATTACTTGAGGAAGAAGAAGAAAGGAAAACATGGTTTTTTGGGATTAAAATTGGACATGAGCAAAGCCTACGATAGGGTGGAGTGGTGTTTTCTGGAAAAGATGATGTTGAAACTGGGCTTCCCGACCTCTTTGTTAGCAATATTATGAAAGGTGTTGTGTCTGCCTCTTTTTCAATACTTGTGAATGGCCAACCTTCTCGTAATTTCTCTCCCTCTAGAGGTCTTCGACAAGGTGACCCTTTGTCCAAACTTTATTTATTATATGTGCTGAAGGCCTTTCTACTCTATTACGAGATGCGGAAGAAAAAGAAATTAATTCATGGGGTGAAAATTGGAAATGTGCTGAAGGCCTTTCTACTCTACTACGAGATGCGGAAGAAAAAGAAATTAATTCATGGGGTGAAAATTGGAAAGAAGGTTGATCCGATTTCTCACCTTTTTTTCGCAGATGATAGTCTTCTATTTACCCGTGCAAATGAGGTTGAAGTTGAGATTGTGCTTGATATCCTTTCTATCTATGAAGCTGCTTTCGGTCAGAAATTGAATATGGAAAAATCCGAAATGTCCTGTAGCCGAAATTTGAGCGTGACACAGAAACAATTGCTTCAGATGAAGTTATCTTTCAAGGCTGTTGATGGACATGACAAATATCTTGGGCTTCCTATCTAGGGAGTTCAAAAAAGCGGGTTTTTCAATCTATTCAAGATAAAGTTTGGAAAAAGCTAAAGGGGTGGAAACAAGGGTATCTCTCTCAAGCCGGGCGTGAAATCCTTATTAAGTCTATTGCACAAGCTATCCCAACTTATGCAATGCTTTTCAATTCCGAGTAGCATTCTCAATTAGATCGAGAGGTTGTATAGAAAATTCTTTTGGGGTCAAAGAAAAGAGGAACGACATATGGCTTGGATTGCTTGGAACAAAATACAATGTTCAAAATCTGAAGGGGGCCTTGGTATGCGTGATCTTCATGTGTTCAATAAAGCTTTGTTAGCCAAACAAGCGTGGAGAGTGCTCACTAATACAAGCTCGTTGATGGCGAGAGTTCTTAAGGGGAAATATTTCCCTAATTCTGACTTCATGAATGCAAAAATCTTAAGTGGAATAAGCTACACTTGGCGTTCTATTCTTTCTGTCAGAGAACTTATTTCCAAGGGGGCTTTGAAGACTATGGGAAAAGGCAATAATGTAGATATTTGGAAGGAATCGTGGGTTCCAAAATTACCAAATTTTCGCGTCTTTACAAGGCAAAATCCTATCACTGATGGCTGCAATTAGGTTAGTGAATTGTTGGAGGATGGTATGTGGAACAACAGTTTATTAGGGACTCTTTTCTTAGAGTGGGAGGATGATGCCATATCCTGTTGCAAGGCATGAATTTGAAGACTACTGGACCTGGACTCTCACAAAGTCTGGAACTTTTAGTGTCAGGAGTGCATACTATGTTGACCTGAACTCAAATAGGAATGCGATGGCCTCGTCTTCAAATGTCAGAAAACACAGCATCTGGAGCAAAGTTTGGAATGCAGCTGATAGGATAGAGTCGTATCTCCTAATCAAAAGAATTACCTAAGTCCTCTAACTAAAGCAAATAGGGAGTAGGGTCGAATCCACAGGGAAATAATGTCTTTCTGTTCCTAATAAATTAATATAATCTAAATTATCAAGTAACCAAACTATTTTTATCAGAATTAAATTAAGTAGAATAATTAAACTAAAGAAAATAAAATTGAGGGGAAATCAATAAATCAAAGCCTAGGGCATAGGTTCACCAATAAATAATATTCCAGGGTAAAACACAACAATCAATCATCAATGCATCAATTAATCAGATCATAAAGGGCTTTCGCTACGTATTAAAATCACAAACTTAATCTACCGACATTAAATCGCATCTCTCGAATCTTGACTTAACCATTTTTAAATTAAGCTGCCTATTGAAACTAAGCATAAACATCAATTCTTATCTCTCGAATTCGATTAATATTGCATAACTCATACAATTAAACCTAGCCAAATCTAATTGCATAGCATTAAATCAATCAATAGGAAATCAATCGAGCATTAACAATCAACAATAATAAATTACCCCTTCATATTATTTATGGATCCTCACAACCCTAGAAATAAAATTACTCACGCATATTAAAATCTAAGCTAAGCAAAACAATAAAACAAGACATGATTAATCAAGCAATTAAATTACTGAAAATAAAAGGGAAAGAATCGTTACCAAAATAGTCGGAAATAATGAATTGCATAAACCAAAAGAGTTAAGAGAACAAGAGTATTATTCAAAAGCTTAAAACTAAAAATCTGGAAATTAACTAATGGATGATGTCCGCAAATCTCTCTGAACAAAGTGTATTTATACTTAGGCTCCTAAATCCTTAAGTAAAACAAAGTTTAAGCCGCACAAAAGATCCTCAATAGCACGCGCCTGATTGGGCGCCATCTCGCCCGACTGGGCCCGCCTTCCGCTGGCAGCCTTCTCATCTCGCGCCTGGTCGGGCGCGCTTCAGGGCGAAAAGTGTTTCCTTCCTACCTTCCTCACCCGGCCGGGCGCGCCTCAGGGCGAGGGCTTCCACGGTTGGGCGAGCATCCGGGCAGCTTAGACTTCTTCGTTTGGGCTATTTTCTTGGCCCAATTTGGATTTCCTCTTTGGGTCCTTAACACTCGGTCCATTGCCTCGGTCTTTTCTCAACTGTTGAGCCCTTAATCACTGGTTTGATTACTCCAACGCGGTCTTGGGCTACGGAATGGGGTCGTATGAACGCGATCCTAATCCAATGCTCGTAGTGTCTCAAATAAGTCCGGGAAAATGCTCCAAATTTGCAATATCCTATAAAACAATACCAAAGCTACGAAAACACTAGAAAGCGCATATTAGTAATAAAAGTAGCTCCGCAGAGCCAAAAATACTCCTAAATATTACCAAGGGACGAGGGTAAAACACTATATAAAATAGACATATCAAACTCCCCCAACCTAAACCTTTGCTTGTCCCAAAGCAAAGATCTCATCAATGAACAAATAAAACATACTTCACCCCAAAATCAACTAAAACCAAGCATACACTAGTCGAAAACACGTAATCTGCACCGGTTCAAAACCCCTTATTTAGCACCGGTTTTGAACCGGTCCATATCTGGGGGGTGCTAAAACCCCATACATTTCGCACTGGTTCTGGGTGAGAACAAGTGCCAAAAACTACACTTTTCGCACTGGTTTTTGCTTAGAACCGGTGCCAAAAGTCCTGCGCGCCTTAAATGTTAAATACTTTTAGCACCGGTTCTTTCTGTGAATCGGTGCGAAAACCCTTTTTTTTAAAAAAAAAAATTTTTGCTATAAATAATTATATTAATACTAATAATAATAATAAAAACCTGCACATCCTGCATTAATTCTACCATAAATATATATTATAATAACAATAATAATAATAATAATAATAATAATAATAATAATAATAATAATAATTATTATTATTATAATATTATTAATAATACTAATAACAATAATAATATAATAATTTCTAAATTGAAATAATAACAACAATACATGGATGTTAATTAATAATCCCAAATGCAATACAATGAAGTGTCATATATATTTACAACTCCTTATAAAAAAAAAGTGTCATATTTACAAACAATACTAATTATTAATGTAGTTGACAAGTCCAAATTAAATTAAATGTGATGAAAGACGCCAACATGTCTCGAACTTCATTAAGTTCCTTGCTCGTCAATGGACCTCCTTTCTGTACCTTGCAAAACTTGGATAAACAAAAATTATGTTAGAATTAATTACTTAGGTTATGTATGTAAAAATACAATTACAATTTAAGTTAAGCAAAAATTTATTACGTAGGCCTATATGACTACTACTTCACCTATTTTCTACATTTCTTGTCAAATCAACTCATTCTTTCTCATAACATGTCAATATTACTTATTTATAGGCGGCTAGGGTTGTAGGACGCAATTTGATCCAAAATAGCACAAATAAGGCCTATATGACTACTAGGATGCCTATTTTCTACATTTCTTAACAAATCAGCTCATTCTTGCTCTTAACATGTCATTATTACCTAGTTATAGGCGGCTAAGCCTTGAAATCACATTAGAAGAGCAATTCAAGTGTTTTAGGACGCAATTTCATCCAAAATGGACCAAATAAGGCCTATATGACTATTAGGATGCCTATTTTCTACATTTCTTATCAAGTCAACTCATTCTTGCTCTTAACATGTCATTATTACCTAGTTATAGGTGGCTAAGGCTTGAAATCACATTAAAAGAGCAATTCAATGTTTTAGGACGCAATTTCATACAAAATCTCAAATAAGGCCTATATGACTACTAGGATGCCTATTTTCTACATTTCTTATCAAGTCAACTCATTCTTGCTCTTAACATGTCATTATTATCTAGTTATAGGCGACTAAGCCTTGAAATCACATTAGAAGAGCAATTCAAGTGTTTTAGGACGCAATTTCATCCAAAATGGCCCAAATAAGGCCCATATGACTACTAGGATGCCTATTTTCTACATTTCTTATCAAGTTAACTCATTCTTGCTCTTAACATGTCATTATTACCTAGTTATAGGCGGCTAAGCCTTGAAATCACATTAAAAGAGCAATTCAAGTGTTTTAGGACGCAATTTCATCCAAAATCCCAAATAAGGCCTATATGACTACTAGGATGCCTATTCTCTACATTTCTTATCAAATCAGCTCATTCTTGCTCTTAACATGTCATTATTACCTAGTTATAGGCGGCTAAGCCTTGAAATCACATTAGAAGAACAATTCAAGTGTTTTTAGGACGCAATTTCATCCAAAATGGACCAAATAAGGCCTATATGACTACTAGGATGCCTATATTCTACATTTCTTATCAAATCCACTCATTCTTGCTCTTAACATGTCATTATTAACTAGTTTTAGGCAGCTAAGACTTGAAATTACATTAAAAGAGCAATTCAAGGGTTTTAGGACTCAATTTCATTCAAAATGCACCAAATAAGGCCTACATGACTACTAGGATGCCTATTTCGTACATTTCTTGTCAAATCACACGAAAAGAGCAAATTAACTAAGTCAATGGCATACCTCATCAAGCTGTAGTGTGTCTGTACAACGACTCAGTATGTCGAACATGAATCTCATCACGTATAGTCCACAATCAACTCCGTTATCTTGTTGTGTGCACTAGCATAGGAACAAAGTACATGAATCAAACATGCATAGCAAATTAGCAACATCTTATGCATTGTTTATTACAAAAATCACAATATCATGTAGCATTACCATCGGTGATTTCCATGTGGGACCTTGAGGAGCTCGACAATTTATCTTCTTCATAACACTATAGAAAAGTAAGTTCAAACTTGATTAGTATGACTAATAAATGAGTTAGGTAATGATAATCAACACTAGGTAGCTTCATTTACTTTCGCAGTATAGACTTCACGAGGAGCTTTTTTGGATGAGGCAATCAAGCTGAATCAAAAAGGAATATTGTGTTACTGGAAACACAAATCACCAGCAGGGTCCAATGCAAACTACATAAATTCACAATACACAAACAAATCAATAATTAGTCGTGTACAACATATAATTAGGGGAAACAAATGGATTTGACATGGTCAGACGTACTCCTCAAAACATGGGGCGAATATGAACTTGTCTCCCGCATGCACTAATTCCTTGATACCTCGTTCAACATAGTACAACACGTCAGGGTAGTTGCCTAAGATTCTAGTAGTGGAGATCTGCTTAGGGCATAACCACCCTACTTGAAGAATCAATCTCAAGTAAGTGCTCCTGTAGTGCTCTGCATGCATGATAATAGAATATTAATGGAAAAATAAACGACAATCACCACTAATTTGAATAATATAATTTAAGCGGCATTGAATTACCTCATGAATGTTTGAATGAGGGAAATGTTAAGCATTGAACCACTTAGAAATTCCTTCACATCTTCTTTGCTAAGCCATGCAACTGCATCTTCATCAAAGTGGAACATTGCCTTAGGTAGTGCAACTTGAATGGGAGTGTCACTAGGCAACATACTAACACGGTTGTGTAGAAAAGTTAAATCTTTAGAGAGCGTTTGAAGGACCGTGTCAGCAAGAAGTGGAGTAGCTTGCATAGCTGAACCTCTCGAAGAGTTCTTCATCGACCCTTTTTCACTCTCCGACCGTTGTTCACTCCTCTTCTTTGGCACCGGTTGATCAATGCTTTTATGCTGATCCAACCTCCTCTT